TGTGTGTGTCTGTGTGTGTGCGTATATGTGCGTGTGTGTGTGTTTGTGCGTGTGCGTGGATGTGCATGTGTGTGTGTTTGTGCGTGTGCGTGGATGTGTGTGTGCGCGTGTCTGTGTGTGTGTGTGTGTGCATGTGTGATTGTAGTGAAATATGTCTCACAATTGCAAAGACAGAAATACTCTGACATTTCTGACACCCTTTTACCTCCAGTTTTGCTGCTGGGTCAAATTAACCCGAACAGTATCTGTGATATGAACTTTCAGGGGGGGTGGTTGCAAATATATGAGATGAACCATTTTCATATTATATGTTGATTACGCTAATTAAGGCCAGCAGAAGTAGTTTCATACTAAAAATTTTTTTTTAACTATTTTTCCTAAATCTTCAAACTTTAAAACGGGTCAATTTTACCCGCAACATAATAGGAGGGTTAAGCAGGAAGTAAGGCTGCATTATACCAATTACTTCTTTGATGAGGTCACCATCTGATTTAGGCAGAAACTTTTCTCTCTGTGACTCTGGCAAATTATATTTAATTACTGCATATCATCCATAATGCAAGGACTCCAGTAGTAGCTAGGCCTGAAAAATCATTTAATATTTCAGAACTTGTTCCACAAAAGTACTGAGGAGAACTTTTCTGTATCCACTTATTACATTTCTGCAGAATGAAGTCTACTAAACCATACACTATAATGAAAGGTGTGTCGACCTTATAAAGGAAGGGTGCCAATTCACTGTCAAGGAATTAACACACAGGCTTCAAGGCCGCAGATGTGTTGACACTAGAACTGACTCTCGTCATGCATCCTGTATTTTGATTAATCACCGGTGCGCTGCATAGTTAGTGGAATTGTTTTGTCAGTAAATCTGTGTTCAATGTGGGTTGAAAAGTCGTCAGTCAAAACAGGAATGTCAGGTAAATCTATTCCCTGGTCCCTGACAAACTGACTGACTTCCCCAGCTGCATGTCAATTTCTCCAAAACAACCACTTTTGTTCTTCCTTTTTTTAATTAACAATAATGAAAAGATTAATTTGTCCAATGATACACTTGTGAAAACAACTCTGACTGACAGTGAGCTGTTTAAACCATGAATCAGTCACCATTGTGCACTGCAGGGATCCAAGAATACTCAAATCAGTAACAGTAGCTTATGTTCCTTAATGCAGAGTGGTACAATTTGCTTCATAATACATGTATTATGAATAGGTAATATTAGGATTTTTTCAATACAGATACTGATACTGTTTATCGATGCCAAAACCCAGCCTCAGCACTTCTGCGGGTCCTTGAGCAAGGCCCTTAACCCCCAGCTCTCTGGGCGCTGCCACGAGTGGCTGCCCTTCACAAACAGATTACTCTCCAAAGAGGGAGTTGAGGGAGGCGTAAAAGAATTTCCCCACGGGGGCAACATGGTGGTGCAGTGGTTAGCACTGTTGCCTCACACCTCTGGGACCAGGGTTTGAGTCTGGGTTCCTTGTGTGTGGAGTTTGCATGTTCTCCCCATGTCGTCACGGGGTTTCCTCTAGGTACTCCGGTTTCCCCCCCCCCCCACAGTCCAAAAACATGCTGAAGCTAATTGGGGTTATTGAAATTGCCCATAGGTGTGCGAGTGTGCCCTGCGATGGGCTGGCCCCCCATCCTGGGTTGTTCCTCGCCTTGTGCCCATAGATTCCAGGATAGGCTCTGGACCCCCCGCGACCAAGTAGGATAAGTAGTTTGGAAGATGGATGGATTAATTGATGATTATTTACTTATCTATACTCAACAATACTATTCTCCATAATGTGGTCATAAGAGACATGACACAATGTAAAGAAATGTAATATAATGCTTTTGCAAAAAAGTTTGTTTCCTGTAGTGCTGCTTCACTATCCTGCTAGTCCCTGAATGTATTGGTTGAAGTTTGGACCGTATTTAATTATGAAGATGTTTTAATACCATCGAATGTTTCCAACTGAATTTGTTGTCTTGAAATTCATTTTGAGGTGAAAGTGAATGACCTGAATTTAGGTGACAATTATTAAAATGAACTTCATAAACTGTATATTTTGGAACTTTGTGGAAGCCGAATACTTTTGTATTTTACCATTGAAATTACAACTGAAATATTCAGTTGAAATATTCAATGTTTAAAAAGTACATTCACATAAAATTACAGCCCCAGAATATTTAAGCATTATTGAATGCAATGCATTTTCATATGGATTAGTGTAATTCAACGTGCTTTTTTGCATCCATGGCTTATCGTTAATTTAATTCCGTAAGCATTACATTGCCTAAAGTGAGGCCACACTTTTGTAGGCTCTACCCCATCTGTCATGATGACTGGACAGCACAGTATATAAACACGCAGCTACGTGACGCCTGCAGTGTCGTCATCACTAGGGGACGGTATAGAATTTAAAAACGCTGCTATGCTGGAGTGCTTTTCCACTAGAACAGGTACGGTATTTATGGTATGGGGTACTTTCAGTACTCTCCCTTTTCCATTGGCTTCCACTGATTGGTCACGTGCCGGTACCAAAAGTTCCAGTATCAAAAGTGCCAAACTGGGGTGCTTTATTGGTACTGCGAGGTGGGACTTGAAAGGCTTTCTTTGCTATGGTAAGCTTTAAACTGATTTTTACACCTATATCAGAATCTATAAAAAGGAATAATAATTAAAATGGCAAAGCTAGTTAAAGTTTAATCCTGACAAAATAAAAATGTTTTGACGAAACAAACTCCCTGCACTATAATGTCCGCACAGAACTGAAAGTAAGAAAACACCTGATCTTAATCTGAGCTTACTAGCGATGTAAGAATTGCATGTGCATAACATGCGATGTTGGTATTAATGTCGCACACAAACGCTACAGCCTTTTCTCAAATTCAGTACAAAATACCCCGCCCTGTGTTGTGATGTTATTCAGTGCCGGTACCAATTTTTACGCCAGTGGAAATCCAACACATTCCTTAAGTACCAAAAGTACAGTGGAAAAGGGCCCTTGGAATGAATTAACGGCAAAAATACTGATAGTGGCACCATTTGTCCAGGAGCTTATTGAAAGTATCGGTATCACCCAGTCCGGAACCGGTACCAATTCAGTATCGGCTCTCAGTACTCATCCCTATCAAGTATTGATATTTAACAGTTAAGCAGCACCAAGGTTTTGCTCATATAAATATCAAAATGGTTTATTTAAATACACACACACACACACACACATATATATAAATCTGTCAAACTTAAACAGATACAATATGACAGAATCAATCCATAAAAACATCCTTCTTAGTGTGATGATGCTACATGAGCCACTTTAATTGATACATTCCTCCACATGGTTCACCTCTCGTGGGAACCTCCAGGGCTATTGTTGACATGAAATGGCACAAGGGCAGCAATAGCTAGTGCTCGCTTGGCTATGTCTCCCACAGGATATCGCTCCTCTTCAGGCTCGTCTGTAGCCTCTGCGCCTGCTTGGGCTGCGGCGTGGTTCCCCGCTTCCCCCGGCTCTGGGGCCTTGGTGGGACTCCATCGCTAGGCAGAGGAGACTGTGGGGGTGGCCTGGGGCACCTCAGCTGCCTTACAGTCCCCTTACGGGGGCTCTCAGTGCTGCATTTCAACTCCAGAGCTTTCCGCTTCAGCTTCTCCACCTGCTTGCAGAACAAAGATGGACATTAGCTAACAGTAACTGTTACGATAGACAGAGCCTGAACCAGTCCAATCTGACCTCCTGCTGGTGCTTCCTGAGCTGGGAGATTTGTGTCCCCTTATCCTCCATGCGTCTGACCAGGCAATCCAGCTCACGTTCCAGGTCCTCTCGCAGCTCTTGCTTCTGCGTTTCCTCGATTTGCCTTGCAAGCTCCTGGTGCTCGCTTCAACATACACACCCACACGATCACGACAGGAAAACGTCCCTGAGGCAAGTCTGTCTAATCAATTTTTTTTGTGAGCTCTCACAGCACTTTTCCATGACTTAATAGCTGCACTGTGTAATGCAGACTGTGTTTTCATACATATTTATTAATAATTGCACTGCATCAACACCTACTACATGACTGGCTGGTTGTGTGCCATTCATAGCGCACTCCAAAAGTGTTTATCGTGATCGCAGTCATTTTAAATCGCCCGGGCCTATTTCATCATGATGCAAAATATGTCGCCAGTGATACTCTGGATCCTTAAATTATATTGCGATAATAATCGTTATTTACTTCAAACAGGTGTACTACCCAGACACATTGCAGCTGCGTTACATCTGTTAATATTTACGTGTTACTATGGAGCAGAAGAGCCGTAACCTGATAAGGCCGTAAAGGGCGAGAAAGCAGCTGGGGCACTCACAAGCTCATTTGGCCCAGCTCGTCCTGGAGGGCCAACAGGACCTCAGACAAGCTGCCCGAGGCAGAGGCCCCCTGGCTGGGGATCAGGGTCCTGTGGGCTCCTTTGCTTGAGAATGGGCTGGGCTTCCGGCAGGGGCGAGACGGGCGCCGTGGCTGGGCTGGCTGCTGTTTCATCATGTGCAGGACACTCTGGATGTTGGCATGTACAGAGTGACTCGAACTGGTGGACTGGGACAAGGAGAAAAAAAGTCAGACGATGAATAAAATATAACAGTATCACAAAACCGAAGGGGAGGATCCCATAACAGAAAAGTCACAGGTTAAGGGGGGAACTTCCTTGTGAATTATCACATAACTTGACAAGTATTCAGCATGATTTCCAGGTATTTACACTAAGTGTCACACTGAATGTTATGCAACTCATTGTGGACAGTAAGACACGTGCAGACACATGCTAGGACGTTGTTACGAGCCTCTGACGGCTCACACCGTATGACGCTGCTGCGACGTACCGTCCCCGCCACGAACGGCAGCGCCGGCGCCTTGGGGAGAGTCGGGGACAACGATGCTGCGCTCTTCACTTTGGCCGTTTTCTAAACACAGGTCAGAAACTCGTGATCCATCTGCTCAGTCGCATCTTAAATGCATCATCCGAAGCGTTTGGGCCCTCCTGACAGGTAAGCGCCGCTGGTCCGTACCCTGACTGCTTTCGTCTTCTTCTTCTTCCGTCCCGCCGATTCAGAAGCAGGCGATCTGTGAAGGCAGCAGTCATCCTCATGGCCTCTTTGGGGCTGGAAGAGGAGTTGCCAGCAAAGCAGGGATAAGTTGGACGAATGGAGCCCTGACACCCGGCGATATCTAGACGGTGGTTTAGAGAAACTGACCCAGGACACCTTCTCCTGCAGGGCTAGTCGCTCGTGTTTCTCCGCAAGGAGCTTCTGCTCCAGCACCTCTAACTTTTTCTGTTATAATAAAAAGCAAACAAGTAAAAACTAGCTTCCTGTAACTTTTTTCATCCTGTTGTCATTCTGCAATGCTGCCAGCCCGTTGGTGTGTCAAACCAGGATGCCTGCTCCTCTGATGCACTCCCTGCCAGGTGGACAGCTTTACTTACACACTACAGATCACATGGCACCATTCAGCACTCAATGCTGAAGTCAGAGCCGTCAAAGACGACCAAAAAGCTACATCGCCACAGAGAATGCCGCTAGACTGTATATGCTGCTGTGAGATTCCTGTTCACTTCTAGCAGATGGTACAACTCTGACCCTAACCCTACCTACAGGCCCAAAGCTTAGCACCTGAATTACCCTGTGGTCCCACGTCTTCAGTGTCAAGTACTGTATATGTAAAGATACTGTGAACACATGTCCTGCAGTACCTCAGCTTCAGACTGGGTGCTGGTCAACTTCAGACACTCCCTCTCCAGTTTCTCCAGCTTTTCCAGTTTGGTGTGGAAGTCTGCTTGGTCTTTCAGCCTTGACCTCAGCAGGCAGGCCTGCAGAGACGACAGGAGGCTAAAAATGGGTCACCTTCCTCTAGAACCTGCACACCTTCGTGACACCGTTCAGCTGCCCTGTGGATTAACTGCACCTGTTTCTGAACTATCGAGAGCTTGTCCTCTTCTGCCTTTTCCACCATCTTCTTCATGTAATCCAACTGCTTCTCCAGCAGATTACAACGAGCTTCTGCTGACTGCAGCTGGTGCACCAGCTCTGAGACAGACAGGATGAAGGATGTCACTTAAGGCAATATGTTAGGGTGGTAATTAAAATGTAGGTCATTTAGAGCAGGATGTATTATTAAAATGCATTTAATATTTAAATAAATGCCTTACATGCTTAATCGCACTTCATCAATACATATTAACAGGTATTTATGTGTGTTTTTTTTTTAAAACATGCTCTTGAATGTACGTTCAGCGTAAGTGTTTATTTCTGTTTCGCAACCTGCAGGTAGGACGAGTCACCTTGGCTGGGTGCACTCGCCCCTTCAGCGGCTGGGTCCTGTAGAGGCTCCCTGGTGGCCGGGCCCCTGTGAGCTGCCCGTGACAGCTGCCTGACGTTATTCTCAGCCTGGACCCTCTCCAGCTCCAAGCGGCGCATCTTCTCCTGAAGGTTCTTCAGCGCAGCTATCACCGCTGTTAGCGAGAATGACAAAACGTTTACCATGTCAGACAATAAAACACCTAGCACTGTTGTTTTCATGTAATTGCCCAATATTTACAGTACATATTTTATGAAGGGCCACAATACCAAGGGTGAATCTCAATACAGTACCAAGAATGCAAAAACCAGACTTGTAGCATTGGCAAGACTGGTCTTGCTAACCTGTAATCCAGGAACTAACTTGGGGCACAATGAATCATGGAACTGGTCTCATTTGGCGAGGATGCAACTGATGTATCCTTGGTATTTGGGGCGGGGCAAGACCAACATTTTGGGATTTTTGCTGTACTTGTGTATTGGAACTGGTCTTCAAAAATGGAAGATGACGTAAAACGAATACACGAGAACACAAGTGCGTTCAAGTACGCATGTTAAGATTCCCCCTGAAAATCGAACTCATAATTACTCATATTCGTTTCATAGCCAACGCCACAGGCATACCTTTGCCATTAGCGTCGGGCGCTGCTGAACACGGTCGCAATCCGCCTTTGTGCAGGTTCAAGTCGCCGACATCGGAGGCGCCCTTGGCGGACAGAGGAGGAGGGATCCGGTCCGGTGGCAGATGGAAGCTTCCAAGATAGCTGTGCTTCAAGGGCGACGCCAGACTTCGTCTCTAAACAGACATTTAAAAAAAAACATATAGCATTACCTTGAAAACTCAGGTTAATAATATAATTGTTACAAAGTATCAATATTTTAGTTAATATACACACGGTGGCCAATTTAGGTCAGCTGGCTGGCGTGAGATTTTTAGAGACCAGTCTGCACACACAGGCACACGCATTTACATGTAGGCTATGTAACAGTTTTATTACCTTGTAAATAGTCTGTATGGTTTGCAAATTACACCAACGCTTTTGATGTAGCTAATTTAAGGTTTACAATGATTAACAACATAGATTTGCTGTAAGATTTCTTGCGTGACAGTCACGCCAGATGCGTGAGAGATGGCAACCCTGCATTCATGTTAATGTTTTGGTTAATATCCAAGGAAGATGACAGGCTGAGAAACAAAACCGGAACACAGCATCTCGAGCACGGTTTGTTTAACACATAAACCATAACTGGCTGCTTGGTGACCACTGTGATCGCCATACAAACTTGACCAGCTGCTTGTTGCACTGCACCCAACGCAAAACAAGTCTTATATACCGACTCGGCTAAGTGGTGTTTGTTCGGCGCTAGTTAGCATGCTAGTTATCCGTAACTGCGCAATAAGCTCCCGTGTGTAACTGCGCCCAGGCGCCTACCTGATCCTCCAAGAGATCCATCTGTAAAGTTTTAGCAGCCGTCTCTCTGCTGTGTAACATAACCCTCCACCATCTGCCGAATATGCTTATTCTACCGGTTAGCATACGAGTCGGACGCAGTTTAAATTTCCCTCCTCCCCCGGCGCGTGTCGAGGCTCCGCCCCCTGTTCTGTATTAACTTACAGAAAGTTCTGTATATTTTGGAGGGATGAATGAAGCCAAATTAAATATTGTGGCGTCCCTGGCTGCGTCTATTTTTAACATAACGTATATGTTTTTTCCCACTGTTTTGGTTTAGCATGCACATCTATTATAAAACTTGAGAGGCTACGATATAAAATGTCAACTTAGTCACGTTTTTACTATTCAATATTCACTCCCTTGCCTTAGTTCAATAGGTACTACAAACTCGACGCTGTAACATCGTATCCCTTATGGACCCTTGAACTGCGTGACCCAGCTTGATCTCAGGCAGCAGCGTTTTAGAAAGGCTTGTCCGTTACAAGCGCTGAAACGAAATATCTTATAAAGAGAATTACACAGGTCTTAAGAAGATACCGTCGGGGAAACAGAGGGCGTAGTATTTAATGTAGTCCCCCCACGCAAATGCAGGGAACTGACCTCACAGCGTAACCGTCACATTTTTTACCTGATGAAACATAACTTTTGATATACAGTTGGGGGTCAAACTGTCACAAAGCAGGCCGACGTAAGGATGACTGATGTTTACAGAGTGAGCAAGCTAAAAAGCAAGTGACAGATGAGATGTTTATCCACGTTTGACTAAATTAAGACGAATGCATTATTGATGTGCTAGTTTTGTGGGGAAACAAGAATTTTACAGAATGGCGGCATTATTTTTCTCCTTTATTGTGCAAATACTACGTACTGTGCTGTATTGTTAATTGTGTGAAACTTACTTGTTACTTCCAATTATGAAAAGTGTATCTGTTTACAGCTTAAAGTTCCATCCATCCTCCAACCGCTTTTATACAGACCCAATGCAAGGTATGGGGAAAGTGACTAGAACCTGTCCCAGGAAACATACAGTACAAGGGAAAAGTACACCACAGACGGGATTCTAGCCCATCTTTAAAATTAAAATCTTCACAATAATTTGGCCTTTCATACGAACTACCGGGAGTTGTAGTTTTAATGTAGCACTTCCAGTAGTCAAAGCAGACGCGAAAAATAACAAGCTGAGAACTCAAATTCCCAGAGGACATTGCGAAACTAACGGCGACACGTGCCCTGCGTTGATGCTAATTGGTTCAGTGCCATTTATTATACGCCCACATTGAATTTTGTGATGTCCCATTGAACGTCGCAGGTGTCAGTTAATCCTCTACTCAAGTGTCACTGAAACGAATGGGTCTATTTTTCCCCACTTACAGCGCCGGGGTTTACAGCTTCTTGATCGTCGGAAATATATGTGAGCTAAGTAAGTCCCTCTGTGGTTTGTATTATTTGCCAGTTTACAGTTTAATCTGAAAGAGGGCTTGGAGGTGTTACTGAATCGTACCTTCAGTTATTCATTATAGCAATTAAATGGTAGTGTTATTTATTACCATGTATGTTTTTGTGAAAATTGAATGAACTATTTGGTAGCTGACTTGCAAAACAAAAACAGCGCTCATCAGTTACATTTGCGTTATTAAACGGCAAACAGAGTAACAGTATTGACAGTTTTGAGTTTGGGTTATTTTATTTAGTAAATAATAAAATGTAACGGGTGTTATTTGAACATTTTTTATAAGGATATTAGGATAAATAGCATTGAGTAGCTTGCATTATTAAACCGTTGTCAGTGCGCTCATATAAATAGCTTTGCGTATAAATACTGCAGGCTAAAGGAAATGTGTTTACTGTTATATGTTATCAATTGTAAGTGTAAATTGCACGGGCTCTTTATTGTCAATCCTGCTTGCAGAGGATCTGCAAAATCTTGCAAATGCATTTTCCTGTTTGCCAGCTTCCAATCAGTCTTTGCCAGCTTACTGTCATTCAGTATTGAAACATTCTGAGTCGCTATATGTTTTGCCTGGACGCAATAATTTTTATTGAAAACACTTCTATATGATTAAATCGATGTTTTACAGAACTGATTACTTTGAAGCAAGGTGTAAACATCACTATAAATTGGCTAACCGAGCATCTTTAAAGTTAGGGCAGAGCGCAGATTGGATGGACATTCAGGACGCCGAGGGCTGGTGGACGGCGCTCGGTAGCCGAGACGCGCTGTCCAGGGAGGCGGCGATGGACAGCATACGGCAAGAAGTGATGATGAGGGTGGAAAAAGCCGCCCCCTCCGGAGAGTCCTCTTCGTCAGCCGACTCAGCTGTCGCCTCTTCGAACGATCTGAACGACACGCTGGCCCGCCTGCTTATGCTGTCCAAGAGATGCCCGTTTGCCGACGTCCGGGAAAGATGCGCACGGATACTGCGAACAGTGCAGGTAGGAGACGGACAGCAATCGGAAAAGCCGCTTCCGGAGACGTGCCTGTCCGCTGCCGTTCGGTGCTTATGGGGCTTCCACCTAAAGATTTAATTCACAAAGAAAAATAACATGAACTCTCTTTTTAGCGGTATTGGCAACAAAAATACATAGGCTACTCTGCCGGCCGCTGATAGGTTTTTGAAGCTGTCCTTTCGGGAAAAAGGAGTTCTATATTTTCACAGCAGAAAAGTGAAATGAGGGGGGAAAAAATATATATATATATATATATATATAGTAAGATAATATTAAAAATTCCACTGTCTACAGTGTGAAGACGGATATTAAAATGACACATATGTACCTGTATAATTGTTTCAAAAGACGAGGGTTATATTGTACAATTGGAGTCTACGGATGACTGGTACGCAGAAGAAAATGTTAAGATTAATGGCTGTTCACCCCGATGGCAAATGCTAAAAATACGTTACATGGCATCATCCTTGTCATGGACTGCAGCTGTCTCTGAAAAACGTTTCAGTGTATCTAATGATAGCTAATTTAGGTTGTTCTTCTACTTAGGTGAAAGGGGTATGTCCAGTTATGGAACCGGAATTCAAACTGCTCGAAAGACTGTGCGGCTTGTCTATTGCAGCCTGTGGGGGGGATCGCGGCACCTCTAAGACTGGGCTTGTTTCCCCACCGCGATGCATTCCCAAAGTCATCTTACACTTCATTTGTTGAAGTCTTGCCAAAGGTCATGTTTTCTGGATTTCGATTCTTTTGTGTGAATGCGATGCACAGACTCGAGGAAAAACACGCATCAGACACAAACCTTTAACTCGCTGCCCATCACGGACTGGCGAAAGGACCAGTATTTAATTGAATCTTTATCGATGACACTTCAGATTTTTAAATTATTTTTTACCGTGTTAACATGTTTTGACATTGGTGGTGAATGCACTTGCTCGCCTTGTCCTCCCGAAGTAGAACCGGGAATGTTTAGAGTAAGATTCCTCTCATGCCGGCTTGATTATCTTGAGTACTTTGAATTCCGTTTATGGAGGTCTGGCGTGATTGAGTCCAACTCATAGCAATAAGATGCTAATATAGCAAGCCCCCCCCCCCCAAGATCAATGTGGCAGTGTTAATACTGGAGGACAATTGTGCATGTCTATCATTGAAGGCCACAGCTGAAAACACTACTAGGGTGGGATTCTCAAGGGCAATCTGCAGAGATAAACCCTTGGGGTCAGTGGGGGTCATAGGGTCATATTTTGTTAGTGAAAATGCTACGTCCACAACAAAGTGTGTTTGGATCTCAGATTTATTATGGAATATGTTGAGTGTTTTTTTTTTTAAAAGACAGCTATATGCTCTAAACTTAAAAAGGCAATCGAATCAGCTTAAATCAATAAAGCCAGATTTGAGAGGGCCATCAATCTTCAGACACACGTGCTCTGACCATGGGGCAGCAGTGTGCCAAGCACTATGACCTCACTCCTTCAGGAATGTGGGTTTGATTCCTCCTCTGGCTCGGCATACGGAGGTCGAATGTCCTCCCATGTTTGAGTGGGATTTCCTCCCCGTACTCCGGTTTCCACCCGTGGTCCAAAGACATGGCGGTTATGGTCAGATGCTCTTACTGAATCCTATATCGTTTATGAATGTGTGCCCTGCCATGGGTTGGCACCCTATCCTGGGTTGTTCGCTGCCTTGTGGCCATAGCTTGCGGGATCTGGACCCCCACAGCCCTGCATAGAACTAGTGGGTATAGAAAATGGTTGGATGGATGCCCTGCAATGGACTGGCATCCCATCCAGGCTGACTCTTGCCTTGTAGGATCCGGACTTACTACAGCCCTGCATTGGAAAAATGATTATGCGAAATGGAATGGAATCGGTTACTGCAAAGCTGATTCAAGATACTGGTACTTGTTCAATTGGCTCCAAGTCTTTACTCGTTTATCTGTCATACCCCTCATAATAGACCCTATGCGATGTTCGCCTGTATGTGAGCAAAATGACCCTCCTCCTTTTCATTGAGCTCCCTTTGCTTACCTGTATGTCCTCCTGGTTTCTCTAGTAATGCGTCAGTGCTAACAAACGATGCATTGTGCGCTGTTTCGTTCTCCTGGATTACAGTGGAGGTTTTGCAGAGTGGTTGGGGGGGGGGTCTTCTTTTCCTGAGCAGAAGTGGTTTCCTAGGTCAGAGTTCAGGAATCTCTTATAGCTGTGCAAGATTCCGAGGCCACACACTGAGTTTTTCCTGTTTGGGTTCCTGCGTCCCGTCGCTCACACTGGGATTTTAACAATAGCGTTAATTAAGAGTAAGAGAACTCATGTGTTTGTTTGTCTGCTGTGTTTTGCTTGTTACTCACATTGACTATAATGGGATCCTTCTCCCCCTGCAAGTAATCCTTCGACCTCAAAGAACAAATTATGACCATGTTTGGTGGAGAGGCACCCCCCCCCC